CGGCTCGCCTGCCTCCACCCTCTGTCCTCTCTCAGCCTAGAAATCGCTCTAGAGGAGCAGCTTCCCCCCGGCCTCCTGCTGCAGCTCACCTAAGGCGAAAGGCAATAGTCCTCCCCTCATGGTTTACCTACAAAGGCCCATTTTGCAGACGGGGAAACCAAGGCTGGGGGGGACGGATGGCTGAGCTCAAAGTCGGCGCGACCAGAAGCCCGACTTTCACCGCAGGCGGGCCAGGCGCCTCCTGCGGACCTTCATCGGCGCGCACAGGACTGAGTTTAAATCTGACCCGTGGGCAGCTGCCTCTCCCTCGGCCTGGGCGCTGCTGGAGGGCGGGCAGTAAGGGGCCTGGCGCCCCTCGTGCCCCGGAACCGCGCAGCGGGGTCTGGCACCCAGCAGGTGCTGTTCTTTTTTTTAATGTATCTTTATTGATTTCAGAGAGAGGAAAGGAGAGGGAGAGGGAGAGAGAGAAACACCAATGATGAGAGTCATTGATGGAGCCTGCAACCGGGCATGTGCCCTGGCCGGGAATCAGCCCCCATCGCCTGGATCCCAGGTCGACGCTCAACCCCTGAGCCACGCCCGGCCGGGCAACGGGTGCTGTTCTCAAAGTTTACTCGTGAGCACAAAGGGTGACGACGGCCCAGCCCGTTTTCCCACGGCGCCCTGGGGTGCCGCAATCCTCCAGGGCCCCCACCTCGCTCCCCTCCCTCAGCCGGGCTCTGACTCTGCCTTTCTGATGTTGCCTCACTTCCTGGGAGGTGAGAGGTTCCCGTTGAGCCCCGGCTCCCTCCTGCTCCTGCTCCTGCTCCTGCCCCTGCTCCTGCTCCTGCTCCAGCCAGACCTGCCCACCATGGCCCTGGTGCTGATCCTCCAGCTGCTGACCCTCTGTGAGCTGCCCTACGCCCTCTCTCTGGGTCCCGGGCTGGGCCGGGGTACAGACCCCCACAGGACCAGGACGGTGGGGGGCAGGGGGCAGACCCCTGGGCCCTAAAGCAAGAGGACACAGGGGCCCCGGTTCCTGGGACAAGAGGAAGTTGAGGGCAGGGTCCGCCCGCCCTTGAGGCAGGAGAGGGCTAGAGACCTGAGCCCCTGGGGATCAGGAGTACAAAGCCCCAGATCCTGATGTGGGGGGGGAGGTGGGAGCCAGGACACGGGGGTCCCTGGGGAGGGGGGGTGCTGAGGCCCAGACCCCTGAATGCTTAGATTACTGTCTCCTGTAAAAGGTGGACCCCAGGGGCCTGAAGTCTTAGGTGCAGAGGCAAGAAGGTCCTGGGTCCAGACCTGTGGCTTCTTGAGTAGGTGGGGGTTGGACCTGTGGATTTATGGCTACCAGAGAGGAGGAAGTGTGGCCAAGGTTCCTGTTTCCTAGAGGACAGAGGGCCTGGGGACTTATATTCCTGGGTTGCCAATGACCGGGGACTGGGAGCAGTCTAGGGCTTCCATGAGACCATGCCCCCCAACCTTCTACAGGGCCTCTGGGTCACACAGACATTACCTCGAATGGTGAGTACACCCCCATCCGGCTCCCTGTATGTTGCTGACATCCCATTTCCAAACTACTCAGATTTTATTTCTGGTGTCCGCCCTCACCCCAGATTTCCTTATTTCCCTCATTCCGCCTCCTTTATTTCTTTCCTTCTCACTCCCTTTATTTATCTTTCTTTTTATTTTTTAAAATTTTTTGTTGCCCTAGCCAGTTTGGCTCAGTGGTTAGAGTGTTGGCTGTCGGACTGAAGGGTCCTGGGTTCGATTCTGGTCAAGGGCATGTACCTCAGCTGCAGGCTTAATCCCTGGCCCCAGTCCAGGCGCGTGCGGGAGGCAACCAATTGATGTGTCTCTCTCACATCGATGTTTCTCTCTCTCTCTCGCTCCCTTCCTCTCTCTCTGAAAAAGCAATGGAAAAAATATCCTTAGGTGAGGGTTAAAAAATAAATTTGTTAATCTTCACAGGAGTTATGTTTTCCATTGACTCTTAGAGAGTGGAAGGGAGGAGGGGGGGAGAGAGAGAGGGGGAGAGAGGTGAGAGACACATTCATTGGTTGCTTCCTGCACACACTGGACCCTGCCAGGGATCAATCCTGCAACCCAGGTCCATGCGCCTGACTGGGAATCGAACCCGAGACCCTTAGTGCATGGGCGGATGCTCTAACCACTGCGAGCAACACTGGCCAGGGCTATAGGTGAGTAGTGAAGACCATGAACTTTGGAGCTAAAGAGACCTAAGCTGGAACCCCACCCACGTTCACCGTCTTAATCATTTATGAACTTGAACAAACCACTGCACCCTAAGACACAGTTTCCTTCTCTGTGAAATGGGCTGTTGTGAGGATTTAATAAAATCACATGTGTCAAACCCTTGGCTCAGAATGTGGCATAGCTCAGGGCTCAAGAGAGAGGATTTCTGCCAACACTAATGATTCCCTTACTTAGAAAGTAAGGTCCCCCACCCTGAAATAGCCCTGGGTTTCCTTCCAGATTTTCTGATAGTGAGATCTCTTCCTTTCTCTCAAACCTCCCCCCACAACCACTACACTCCAACCTCAAATAAGAACCACCTAGAACACCATTAATGCCTATGCTATCAACTTACTTTAAATTACTACGCTTAAATGATAAAGCAAATATATATATGGCTTTGAAAAATCAATCATTACTGAAGGACATATAGCAGCCTCTCTCTTCCCCTTGCTCCCCTCCTTAAATAACCCCTGAATCCTTACAAAAACTTTCCAGGCGTTCAAGCACACATACGTACTTATCTACTTCTTGGTTTTCTTGCCAAGGCAAACTTGATATTTCGTGACTCACCCTGTTATGCATCTTCCATCTTCCACTTTATAATCTCTCTTGGAGATATTTCCATGTCATTTAGCTGGCTTTACTTTTTTTTTTTTTTCCTTTTAAACTGCTGTCTAGCATGTGCCGTTGTATGGTTGGATTCTAATTTACGGGCGCTCTTGATGTCCATTTGGTTGCTTTCAGTTCGCACCTCCTCACCAGCGCCGCAGGGAATGCCTCTGCGCCAGCTTTTGGCGCACGCTCGCGTGTGTATGCGTGTGTGTGTGCGCGTGCGTGCGTGTGTGCGCGTGCGTGTGTGCGTGTCCACCTGGGTGCAGCGGTGGACTGACTGGCCACAGCCCTGTGCATCTGGATAGAAACTGACCAACCGCCTTCTCCACAGGCGCACTCAAGCCCGCATAAGTGCCTGTCACTACATCTCCACCCAAATGGAATAGTAACCATTGTTTTCATTTTGATGACCTGATAGTCAAAAATGTCTTACTGTTGTTTTAATTTTTTATTGATTTTGAGAGGGAGGGAGCGAGCGAGCGAGAGAGAAGCGCCGATCTGTTGTCCCACTTATGTACACAATCATTGGTTGATTCCTGTCTGTGCCCTGACTGGGGATCGAACCCAATACCTTGGTGTTATCGGGATGATGCTCTAACCAACTGTGCTATGGAGCCAGGGCCAGTTTTAATGTTTTTAATGATTACTGCTAAGGTTGAACAATCCTTCCCACCACCGCCAAGTGTGTTTTGGTCAATTGTACTTCCTGTTCTGTGAATTGCCTAGTCACATGTTTTACCCAACTTTCACTGGGCTGGCCCTTGGATTTCTTTCTATACTCTTTTCTTTTGCTTGTGTGCGAACCCTCACCCAAGGATATTTTTTCTATTGATTTTTAGAGACAGTGGAAGGGAGGGAGGGAGAGGGAGAAACATCCATGTGAAAGAGACACATCGACTGGTTGCCTCCTGCACATACCCCAGCCGGGGCTGGCAATCGAAACCGCAACCCAGGTAGGTGCCTGTGATTGGGAATTGAACCCATGACCCTTCAGTGCATGGGCCGACGCTCTGACCACGGGGCACACTGCCAGGGCTCTTTCTGGACTCTTAATCTATGTGATTTATGAGTAAGTCATTTTGGCCAGTGCTGTCACTTATTTGTCTTTTCTCAGACACAACTTGAAAATGCTGAAGAGGTTGAATTTACTAACCCTGTCCCTTCTGAATTTTTCATTTCACTTTAAGACAACCTTCTCTAACCCAAAACAAGTATGTTTTCCTCTGATACTTTTATTGTTAAAAATACATGTATGTCTTTAATTAATTGGGAATTTCTTTTGGGAAAGGGTATGTGGTAGAGATCCAACATCCCCTCCTCCACAAACAGACAGCAAGTTTGGCACCTACTGAAATATGTTGGATATGTTACAAATATTCTGGAGAGCAATGTAAAAAGCACAGATTTCTGGGGCCCACCTCCTTGACATGATGTTTTAAAACCACGCAGGAAAGCCTTCGCTGGTTTGGCTCGGTGGTTACAGCGTCGGCCCACGGACTGAAGGGTCTTGGGTTTGATTCCAGGAAAGGGCACGTACTTCAGCTGCAGTCTCAGTGCAAACAATTGATGTGCCTCTCTCACATCCATGTTCCCCCCCACTGTCTCTGAAAAGCAATGGAGAAAATATCCTCTGGTGAGGATTCAAAATAAAAACTGTAGAGGAAAGCTTGGGAGTTGATGCCTCGCTCCTGTGGTTTGCAGCTAGTTTTGACAAGCCTGCTGGGGTCCAGTCCCTTTCTCTTTCACAGGGAGGAAACTGAGGCTGAGAAAGGGACAGTGGTGGTTCCAGGTGACTCTCTTCTCACCCCAGCTTCCCCTTCATGTCCTCAGGCACCCAGGAAGCCCAAGAACCCAGGCTGCCTGTTTATTCAGTCCCCTCGGTCACTTACCCCAAGCACCCCAAGCCCCTCAAGTCCCCCAAGCCCCTATCATCTTGGACCCAGCTGCTCAGGCAATTCCAGCCCAGTCCATCCATTTATTCAGTCCCCCCAACCTCACACCCCAAGTTCAGGCCACTCAAGCCCCTACCGCCCGAGCCCAGGTTATTCCAGCCCCTACCAGCTGGGCCCAGGCCATTCCAGCCCCTACCACCGGAGCCCAAGCCATTCCAGCCCCTACCACCCGAGCTCAGGCCATTCCAGCCCCTACCACCCGGGCTCAGGCCATTCCAGCCCCCACCACCCGAGCCCAGGCCATTCCAGCCCCCACCACCCGAGCCCAGGCCATTCCAGCCCCCACCACCCGAGCCCAGGCCATTCCAGCCCCCACCACCCGAGCCCAGGCCATTCCAGCCCCCACCACCCGAGCCCAGGCCATTCCAGCCCCCACCACCCGAGCCCAGGCCATTCCAGCCCCCACCACCCGAGCCCAGGCCATTCCAGCCCCCACCACCCGAGCCCAGGCCATTCCAGCCCCCACCACCCGAGCCCAGGCCATTCCAGCCCCCACCACCCGAGCCCAGGCCATTCCAGCCCCCACCACCCGAGCCCAGGCCATTCCAGCCCCCACCACCCGAGCCCAGGCCATTCCAGCCCCCACCACCCGAGCCCAGGCCATTCCAGCCCCCACCACCCGAGCCCAGGCCATTCCAGCCCCCACCACCCGAGCCCAGGCCATTCCAGCCCCCACCACCCGAGCCCAGGCCATTCCAGCCCCCACCACCCGAGCCCAGGCCATTCCAGCCCCCACCACCCGAGCCCAGGCCATTCCAGCCCCCACCACCCGAGCCCAGGCCATTCCAGCCCCCACCACCCGAGCCCAGGCCATTCCAGCCCCCACCACCCGAGCCCAGGCCATTCCAGCCCCCACCACCCGAGCCCAGGCCATTCCAGCCCCCACCACCCGAGCCCAGGCCATTCCAGCCCCCACCACCCGAGCCCAGGCCATTCCAGCCCCCACCACCCGAGCCCAGGCCATTCCAGCCCCCACCACCCGAGCTCAGGCCATTCCAGCCCCTACCACCCGAGCCCAGGCCATTCCAGCCCCTACCACCCGAGCCCAGGCCATCCATTTATTCAGTGCCCCCAGCCTCATACCCCAAGCCATCACTGGGAGCGCAGCCTGCCTCGGTTGTGACCCCAGGGATGAATGTGACCTTGACTTGCCGGGCGCCCCAGCCCTCCTGGCGGTTTGCACTCTTCAAGTCTGGAGAGCTCGCCCCCCTGCTCTACCAGGACGTGTTTGCGGAGCTGGCGGAGTTCTTCCTGCAGGAGGTGACTGAGGCCCAGGGGGGCAGTTATCAATGTCGCTACCGGAGCCCACGGTGGTCACCGGGTGCCTGGTCCCAACCCAGTGATGCCCTGGAACTGCTGGTGACAGGTGAGGTCCTGGGGGTGGGGGAGAAGGGACACAGGAGTGGGAGGAGGGAGGGAGTCAGGGAGGGGGGGGAAGAGGGAAACATACAGACACTGGAGACAGACAGACAGACAGAGAGAGGTGTGATTCTCCACCAGGGGCGTTTGTNAGAAATAAATGCTGAACAGCCCACAGTGCTCAGGACAGTCCCCCTCCCCCGACCCCACACCACAGAGAACGTCCCTAGGGCCGAGGCTGGGGAGCCCTGGGACAGACGCACAGACGCGGAGCGGAAACCGGGGGACACTGCCTCTGGGGTGCAGGAGAGCGGCGCGGCGGGGAGACAGAAGCAGAATTTTAGGCGCCAGCGCAGAGGGGAGGGACCTACGGGGGGCAGAGGCCCAGGCCGGCGCCCACCCAGGCCCCGTCCTTGCCCCGCAGACCAGCTGCCCCGCCCGTCGCTGGTGGCGCTGCC